ATTATATACGAAAATGATATAAAAAAGTTATGTCTATATGTACATATAGGGCCTACAGTATATTTATATAAGCTAACCATATTTACTTATTTTTTCGCAGGCTAGGTCCAAAAACCCGTGCGGGGTTTGCCGTACAAATTGCGGCCTGGAATCGGTTTACTGTGCTGGATGTAAGATGTGGCAACATGCTCGATGTGAGGGTTTATCCGCAAAACACATGTCGGACTTGCATGAACTTCCCATGATATACTATTGTCGGAGATGCTGCGGTAATCCTTTTAACTACACTGCCTCGTTGGCTCGGTTATGCGATTCTGAAAAGAGAGGTGTGATGTCTGCCTGTGTCGCCGTGGAGAAGATTTTGATGAGAGGGAAGAACAGAAATTTGTCGTTGGAAGGTTTGGTAAAATGCCAGAAACCCACGCACGGACAGAAAAGCTGAGGAGACATTAATGAGGTAACAGCTAAAAAACTAATAACCTATGTACCTTTCCATGCTTAAATAATTTTTTTTTTTCATTTGGCTTTCAGGTTTTATCACATATTCTTGTGCATTTCAGATTCGATCCGAAGTCGGAATACACCCCAGTAGGTGTGCGCGGGGATGGTAATTGTTTATTCAATTCCATCTCCGTTGCCATCTACGGGCACGAGCAACGAGCTACCGAGATTCGAACTAGAACAGCTATTGAGATGTTCGGCCACAAAGAATACTATCTGAAAGCCCCAGGTAATTCGGAACTGAGGAAGGTTTCGCCGGACTATGAGCAGGCATTGCGAGACTGTACCCAAAATGGTGAAGGCTGAATACAAGGAATTAGAACTTAGCATTGTTGGGCAGGGGGGCTTAGAGTTATGTGGTGAATATCGGAAATTTGCTGTGCCGATAGATGCCTGGTGTGCCAAAAAAAAGCCCGAACGGGACGAACACATGCGGAAATTTTTCAGCCACCACGGAGGAAGATTGAAGAAAAAAATTATTATATCATCGGATGGCAATACGTTTGTTAATGGACCAGGTGTAAATGGTGGAAAGAAACCAGGCCAACTAAAAAGGAAAAGAGCAGAAAAGTCACGAACTAAATACATATAAGCATTGGGCTTGTGTTCTAGATATTATAATATATTGAACTATGACTACATTTTTTTTTTGCAGTCTTTGCATCATCGTTCACATGTACGATTAAAACATTGGTCTATTAATTATTATAAATATATATATATATATATATATATCATATATATATACTATATATATATATACTGTATACATATTCATATATTTATCATCGCAATAATTTTATATTTTTAATATTTAGGCCTATATTATTCACATTATATATATTATATATATATATATATATATATATATATTCACATTTATATATATGTACACTGTAAAAAGTGTGTTTAGAAAGTGATAGCAGAAATGTGTTTAGAAAAGATATGTTTAGAGTATTGACACTTGGTGTTTAGAAACTGAACACCGATGTTTCGTGATTTGACACATGACGTTTAGCTTCTACACATGTTTACAAAGTGATAGCAAAAAAGTGTTTAGAAAAGTGTTTACATGCTAAACACAGTTTTT